TCTCAGACTGAAGAAGTCTCTTGGAGGAGAGACGAAACGTTTCATTAGAGAAGAACCCGTCCAGAAGACCTATACAATTTTTTTCTTTTTGATTTTTTTACCTGGATTACTAAGATGCATCAAGACCCTTCTGTTATCTATGTATTTTTACTTACTCCAAACTGTAAATYAATCAATTCAAATTCCATATCTTTGAAAATGGCTTGGAAATCCTGTTTAGTAATGAAGAACCTTTAGAAGCATTTTGTTTGTATGTAACTTTAGCTCTCAGTGCATCCAGAGTCACAAAGATCAATGTTTATCTATGCTGTTTCATAAAAATGTGGCATCTGTGTTTGATTAAAAAAAAATGAAAATTAACAATGAAAGCAACTTTAATGGTTTTAGTTTCTATKTACATGTAGTATCCTCACATTCACTCACTCATTGATAAACACACGTTTTCACACAGTGCATGATAAAAAGTGGACATGAGCTACAGCTGACACTAAASCAAATCTAAAGCCTAGCAGAAACTGTGCATTGCAACTCAACATGGGAAATTAGTGATTTAAAATAACACTTAAAAAGGAAAAGACAAACAGAGTCAAACTTGTTCAATTGTAGCAGTAATGCTGTGCAAAACAAGGGCTTTGACGTCATTGGCTAAAGTGCAGTTATTTTTATCAAATGTTTGTTTTTCTCTAAAACAGGAATGTAAGGGGCATCAAACAGACTTAAAAGAAAAGCATCTCCCTCTTGTGGAAAAAACACTGAAAAGCACATTATACAGCATCCTTTCTGCAAAGCATGATAAACATTTCTAAAGCTTCCACAAAAATCAACATTACAATCTTAAAGAAAGCTTTATATCTGACTGAATATTCTTAAATAAGCTGACAAAGATATCACTACGACTGATACTGAGATTTAATGTCAATGTTATTTTTTGTTTAAATGTAATGGTGCTTGTGATTTCAATGCACCACAAAAGCAGAGGATATTGCAACAGATGATGGATCAGTAACTGTAAAAGCAGGTAGAACTGGGTGTAAAACCTGAAACATGCCAAGAAACRTCGCTGGAGAGATGTCAGGAAATCAGGAACTTTCTGGCCTTTCTAAACAAAAGTAGGAAACAATTCAAACTTTWCCAAGGAAACTGACAGGCAACTTCAACTGACAGTCAGCTTTAAAGTGTAAATATAGTCACCATTTTACATCCCTACAGCTGTATTTTACAGCTGGACCTGTTTAAAAGCTCCACACACAGCAGTAAAAGTGCTCTGGCATCAAAACTAGTTGAGATTTAGGCATACCAAAAACCAGATCTGTGTTATTGTGACAAATCTAAATGCTAACTGCTACAAGACTTTTGGACATTAAACAAGCATTTCATCACATTGTAGATGCGTAATTTCTGTTTTTCTTTTGTTTGTTTTGATACAAACAAGCACTCCGAGTAAATACAATGCATTTACCTACTTTTTTTATGAATTCAGGTAGAACTTTTTTTTATTTTTTTGGTTCAGATCATTTTTGCTTCATGTAAAAACTGACTTTGCTTGTTGTATTCACGAGTTCACAACCTCACTGTGATAGTGATTTCCTTTACAGGAGCAGTTTTATAATAAATCAATCCGAAACTGAAGTCTGAAAAGCTCCTTGCGTTGGAGAGTGCAGCGCATGTCTTTGTAACTAAAACGAGTGGCAAAGTGGGAGAACACATTACAAGACAAGGAAGAGAGAGAAAAAAACTTGTTTAACAGGTGCAACTTCATGTTGTCAAAGTCACTTGACTTGTTTATCTTGCCATGACCGTTTTCCTTCTTCTTGGTTACAAAGCTCAGTGATCAGCTCCATTAAAGTCTATAAAATCCCACTGACTAGAAGTCACTGAGGATGCTGATGTCTGCAAATTCCTGTCGGTATCTGTACGAGTACAACGCCAGGAGAAAAGACCATTTAAAGGTCAARAAGCTCCACACACAAGACAGGTACAGGCTCCGAGGGTCAGTGACAGCTGTGGAACAGGACACACATGAGGGTTATTAATACTTGAAGGACAATCTTCACGAACAATTAGCAACTACAGTAAACATTGCAGATTCTAAAAAATAGAATAGACCAGACAGGACGTACATTGCTTCATTGTGATGGCCAGACATAGAAAGGTGATGAAGGCAGCGACAGCCAGGACTGAGAAGAGCACACCAACACAGATAAAGAACTTCAGCCCCTTCAGCCAGGTGCGCCAGTAGTCCTGCAGGTACATGATGTGTGTAACGAGAGCCCAGAGCGCCAACACCCCTGTCAGAAGAAAAACATTAATATTAGTCAATATGAAGGTCTGCACTTAACAGTTTTTTCATTAGTCACCAATTATTTGTATTTTAAGCTAGTTTATAAACCCTAGTATCCACTAAAACATTATCCCAATTTTCAAAATTCTGTTTTTTTTAAAAAGACTATTTTTACTAAAAGAATGCAAATTCAGTTGTATCCGATCCAGCCAAACACAACTAACATGTCAGATATGCCAGGCAGGTGAATAATCTTTGTTGCCTTCAACAGGATAACCAGTAAAAATAAACAAACAAATAAATCATTTGTTTCAAAAGCTGATCATCTGATATTTTTGTCAAACAATTTTTAAGTCATGACCTCGTTATTATGTATAAATAACTTTAAAAATAAATACATTTCCTCACACCCACAAAACAGGTTAAATAAAAGTGTGCAACTATTTTCTACGGGATATTTAACATCAAAAGAAAAATACTTTCTGTTTAGCATTGATTCAAGTAATTAAAAATGCTTTTAAACTGTTTGACAAGCCTCAGTCAGAGTTTAAAAAGCTTACGTAAAAGCTGTAAAACAAATGTGTAGTTTTTACAGTAAACGTGGTGCGTTCACGTACCTGACAGGCCTCCCATGGCCGCCGTCCATGGCTGTTTATAGGCGACGTTCCAGACCAAGAACGCCGAAAACCCAACCAGAGTACCAAAGCTAGCATAGCCTATGCTAATGTACACCCTGTTGATTCCCATTTGAACAACACCAACGCTAAAACCAAGGGTTTAGATCGTCGTACGAAGTACAAAAAAAATTGCTTTATTTAGCTTAAAAGGGGTTCACGAGTTTGACATCTAGAACAGCAGCTTAGCGGCACATTATGTAATATCATACAAACAGGAAACAAGTCACAGGAAGCTCGAATTTCACTCGGATAACAGCAAACAGCGCCAATCACTGCAGACTAAGAACAGCTGAGTTTGTTTATGTCGCTCCAAACACCACACGAACGCTTTTGTTATTATTAGCCAACAAGAACCATCAAACCCCCMAAAAAAAATCCCAGTTGTTGTAACATCCGCCGCAAGACGCCACTAATAATCATCATCCGAGACACACCATCTCAGAATAAATGTCGGCAGTTCTTACTTATCGGTAAAAGAAATAATAACTAGCGTTGGAGTGTTTTAAATAACATAAATAACATAAGCTTTAGCAGCCATTTTCTGATGCTTCTTCGGTCCCCTTCTTCTTTGGGACGGTTGGTGTTTATCAGGGTTGGTAAACAATGTTATGGTTCATTACCGCCACCAAGTGGTAGATATATAAATTACACCAGCCAGCTCTGAAAAACAAAGAAACAAGCAAACAGTTTATAATTAATAAAATAAAATAAAATAAAATAAAATAAAATAAAATAAGGGGGTCTAGCATTTTTGAAATTAATGATTTATCGACTGCCTTTTAAAGCAAAGTTTTAGACTAAAATGACCTCACGTTGGTCAAACTTTTATATATCCACATTTTCATGTGATATTGCAAGATGGGAGACTCAGAATATGCGCTGTGATTGACTCCCAGCTGCTGCCACATCCAATTTTAGATTAATATTTGTCAAAGTGGGTGTTCCATTGTGCTGGCAATCTCAAATGGGGCTAAATCTAAAAGACATTAAATTGTAGATGTACATTCAATAATTATTTATTGTTGCACGGTGGCTCAGTTGGTAGAGCTGATGATAAAGGCCTTGCTGGTTAGCAGCCATTTATTCTTTATCTATCTCCCTCTTAATGGCGATATTAAGAATCCAAAATCTGAAATCTTCAGGACTTTAATATCTAAGTCCTAAGAAAACACATTTTCTGCTAAACTTGTCTTTGCAGAGTCTTACAACAACCTTGCTGTCTTGAAGTCATGTTCAGAATTCAATTAAACATGTTACTGCACAGCCTCACCTGTTATTATCTGTCTGATCCACTGCACATCACCACCCATTCTCACTCCCTTCATTTGTTTCATATGTTTGTTGCATCTTCAACTCTTTCACTCTAAATAAATGTTACAAGGTCCAAAACCAAAATTATCTGTTGTTAGACTCCTCTTTATTGTCACAGAAGATATAGAGTTGCATGAAAACGTATGTGAAYCCTTTGGGATTTCTTGGATTTCTTCATAAACTGATCATTAAACATATTCTGATTTTCATCTAAGTCACAACAATAGACAAACACAGTCTGCTCAAACTTATACCACACAAAAAATGATATGTTTGCATGGTTTTATTGAACACAACATGTAAACATCCACAGTGCAAGATGGAAAAAGGATGTGAACCTCTAGGCAAATGACTTTTCTAAGAGCTAATTAGAGCCAGGTGTCAGCCAACCTGGAGTCCAATCAATGTGATGAGATTTGATGTGCTCTGTCTTACAGAAAAAAAACACCAGTTTTGAGTTTGCTGTTCTTACGAAGCATTGCTTGATGTGAATCATGCCTATACAAAAGAGCTCTCAGAAGACCTACGTTCAAGAATTGTTGTCTTGCATGAGGCTGGAAAGAGGTACAAAAGTATCTCTAAAAGCCTTGATGTTCATGTGTCCATGATAAGACAGACAGTCTACAAATAGAGAAAGTTCAGCACTGTTGCTACTCTCCCTAGGCATAGGCATCCTGTAAAAATGACTGCAAGAGCACAGAGCAGAATGATCAATGAAGTGAGGAAGAATCCAAGAGTGTCAGCTAAAGACTTACAGAAATCTGACACATGCTAACATTTTTGTTGACAAATCTACAATATGTAAAACATGACACAAGAATGGAGTTCATGGGAGGACACCACGGAGGAAGCCACTGCTGTCCAAAATAAACCATTGCTGCACATTTGAAGGTTGCCAAAGAGCACCTGGCTGTTCCACATACTGGCAAAATATCCTGTGGACAGATGAAATCAAACTTGATTTGTTTGGAAGGAACACACAACGCTATGTGTGAAGGAAAAAAGGCACAGCACACCATCATCAAAACCTCATCCCTACTGTGAAACATGGTGGAGGRAGCATCATGGTTTGGGGCTGCTTTGCTGCCTCAGGGCCTGGACGGATTGCCGTCATCAACGGAAAAATGAATTCACAAGTWTATAAAGACATTTTGCGGGAGAACCTAAGACCATCTGTCCACCAACTGAAGCTCAGCAGAGGAGAGATGCTGCAACAGGACAATGACCCAAAACATAGACGTAAATCAACAACTGAATAACTTCAACAGAAGAAAATTCACCTTCTGGAGTGGCCCAGTCAGAGTCCTGACCTCAACCCAATTGAGATGCTGTGGCATGACCTCAAGAGAGTGATTCACACCAGATATCCCAAGAATATTGCTGAACTGAAAGAGTTTTGTGAAGAGGAATGGTCCATAATTCCTCCTGACCGTTGTGCAGGTCTGATCTTCAACTACAGGAAACGTTTGGTTGAGGTTATTGCTGCCAAAGGAGGGTCAACCAGTTATTAAATCCAAAGGTTCACATACTTTTTCCACCCCACACTGTGAATGTTTACATGTTGTGTTCAATAAAACCATGCAAACATATCACTTTTTGTGTGCTATAAGTTTAAGCAGACTGTGTTTGTCTATTGTTGTGACTTTAATGAAGATCAGAACACGTTTAATGACTAATTTATGCAGAAATCCAAGAAATCCCAAAGGGTTCATGTACTTTTTCATGCAACTATTTTTTTATTGTTATTAATGAAAACTGTAGGTTGTGTTCATTCTGTTTAATTAATATAAATATGATTG